AGTTGCCAAAAGATGGCACTATTGAAGTGTTGTATTATTTTAAAATGGCTCTAAAATATATGTAATGGTTTTACTTTAATACTGAAAATGGTTGAATGATTAACATAATTAATGCTGACGCTTCTAATGGCATGCAACATAAACCCAAGCACAGGAGTAGGCTGGACATGCAGGTGCTAGCTATGGAATGAAATATGTATTTATTGTCTGCCTATTTTTAAAAGGATGTTTGAGATGCCAAGACTTTTAGAATGAACAAAATGTCAGCCTTTCATTTGTAATTTTCTGTAAGTGTGAAAAATCCTCTTTTTGGGTTCTGGCTAGCCACATTTTAGTTGCATGTAAGAGTTTTTTGGGTTTGAAATTATTGTGTGACTCTAGACTGGTCTTTTTTTCCCTGAGATAATAAATAATAATACTGCTCTGGTTTCCCTAATTTACTGTTAGCATTTTTTCCATTGTTAGATTTAAAGTAATTTTTGAGAAATAAACTAGATAAAACTTGACTATATTATGACATTAGGAACAATAACCTCACACTTGTGAAGTGGTATAGTATGATAACAGGCAACATAAAAGCTTTATTACACACATCAGCTGTTGACAGTGGTGGTGATACTTTAGGGTCTTGACTGCAAGTACTAAGGGGTTGTCATGTTACTAAAGCAGAAATGGTTGTAGGGAAAGGTGAACAAGTCATGCGGTTCTAGGAAAGGTTTCCTGTGCATTTAATGTGTGTCCTTATGTTTATCCATATGAAGCTTGAGACTTTGCAGTTATTCGTGCCTATAACATGTAAAATTCATTATAGTAAATGTATATACCTGAATTTAAAATTATGAAAATATGTATCACTAGATCTATATTTAAACTGAAAGTTGTAGTTCTTCAATAAACATGAAGGTCATCTGTACCACTAAGAGAATAGTAATTGCAGATTAATTACCTTTAATGTATTTTATTTTTAAACAATGTATTATAATAAAAGGAAGGTGAAAAAATATTTTTCAGGGTCTTTTACCCTGGTATTCTTTTTGATCATTCTAGAATTTGGAGCCCATTTTTAGGACTTAAAAAATTAAAAGTTTAGCATTTTTAAGAGTACCTTATAACAGGCACCAAATTCCTTCAACTCAGAGTTGAGCTTTAAGGAAGGATTTGGAGGATAATCGAGATGGAACGTAAGCGGAATCTTACATTCTTAGATGGTGGAGTCATAGTAGCAGTGGTGAGTTCTGCTAGATGCCTGTTAAGTTATGCCCCAGCTCAGACCTGTCCCTTGGATAAGCTTGTTTCCCTCCATTGGTTATAGAGGAGGACTAGTTTCTTAAATTTATCTGAACAAATTCTCTTATGAGTGAATTGTCTGTCATGCTGATGATGAGGGGTGTCAGACTCTCTGGATCTGCTTAGTCCAGCATAGCATCACCCTGTGACTTTGAGCCCAGCACTTCCTCACTTTGAATTTTGCAGCTCAGTGCAGGTTTATCAAAAGCCAAGCACGGCTTAATCAGGGATGGCTGCCGGTTGGCTTTGAACACAGACTGAAACAACTGTTGCTGAACTTGACAAGGTGGATAGATACATTGATTAACCTTGCAGGGTAAACCAATCCTCCTTAGATATTTTAATTCATGATTTAGCTTCAGAATAAAGGTAACTGCACTGAGCAGACTGACCTTTTTGGGTCATGGGCCGGTGAAGATTCCTAAGCTAAGGAGGTTTAGAGTCAGGGGTGTTTTGATGTGAGGTTTTCAGGATTTTGTTCAGAAGCCCATGCTGCACTTTCCTCTGAATCACTGCCCCAGTGATTCAGCTGTAGGAGCATGGTGCTTTTAAAACTGTTGTCTTGAATGGTTGTTACTTTACATATGGTAAGGAAAGTACTCTTAACAAGTGCCCAGGCTTTTAACCCTGTAAGCTGTAGTTCTGTCTACTTTTTGGTGTTTACATTCTACCTTTTCCACTTTTACATGGTAAAAATATTTTCTCACTTGTTTGAATGTTCATGTAGTATCTGTCTTATAGGTAGGACAGAAGTTGCTGTTATCTACTTCTATCAGGTGTGCTAAAAGTACATCTTGATTGTCATGCAAAAATATTTTTGCATTTCCAAGCCAGCTAGCTGCCCTCTAGTGGCTTGGCATTCACATATGCATGGAGAAGGTGTAGCTGGAGGGGACAATTCTATGAAAATGAGTAAAGTAGGTGGTTTCTAATAATACTGTGAAGATCAGCTTAACTTTGAGAGCCCATTTAGACTTCAGCTCTGTTCTCTTTTGAGTTCTAATATGAAAGCTAAAAACCAAGCAACTATTACATGGGGGGGAGGGGGGGGGAATGCTTTTATGTTTTCCAGAACCAGTATGAGGCCGAGAAGCTGAGATCACACATCTGGGTGCACTGTGGTTGCGCAGACAGGCCAGAGAGCAGCAGCATAAGCCCTGCCCTTTTAAGTGGGCAGCTGCAAACAAGGAAGGTAGCTGGTGTGACAGTGGAGACAGCCTAGGACCTCGAGGCCAGTACTGGTGCTTTTGTAGCCTGCTGAAGAGTGTTTGTGTGTTAGGATGAATAGGGGAGGGAAGATGAGTGTCTGGAACTGAGCAATTCAAATACATGCTGGTAACTGCAGAATTTTAGAAAGTAAGATCTGGAAGGGCTGTTAGGATGACACCTGCTCTGTTTTACTGTCTCAAGGTAAGTGTCATCCTGTATCAACCTGTGTCTAAAGCATTCTTAAACATTTGTGTAGGCTCCCAAAAGCTACTCAGAGGTCTGAGATAAGCTTATAGTTTTATGACAGCTTTAGCTAATTTTGGAAGTATCCTAGAATGAGTCCATTAGACTCAGTTAAATTGAAAGTATTCAGACTAAGTACTCTGTAACCTGTTTTTTCCTTGTAACAGGCTGAACTTGAACTGCTCACTCACATACGCTAAATGTGCTAGCCATCTGCTCACCCTCCATCTTTTCACTGAAGACTGATACAACAAAGGCATTAAACACTGATTTTCCTTTGAGCATCTTCAGTTGAGAGCTCTGCTCTTTTACACTAACTAAAATTGGAGTAGTATAGACTCCAGTAAAATATGTACTTGGCTTTCTGATTAATGTAACCAAGACTCATAATAAAAATGAGCAAGATAATGTGTACACTCCCCAGAGAAACAGATTGGGTATAATATGCAGGAGTTTTCACCTGGGAAAGTGAGCACAGTTGTATTATCTCTCTCTGAAGCTGTAATTTGTCCTGGTGTTTCCATATTATTTCAAACAGGACTTTCAGACTAGCTTTGATCTGTGGTCTGCTTTGATCTCGCTTGTGATGAGCCTTTTCTTTATTGATTCTTTTCCTGAAAAGGTCCAATTCTGTTAAAAGAACTTATCTTTTTCCCCTTGTATTTTCTTCTTTCCTTTCTCAACTTTTTTTTTTTTTTTTTTCAGATATCACCCTTAGAAAGTCCTCAGTGTGTCTCTGGAGTAATTGCTCTTTCAGTGGCATTGTGTTTGTTTATCTGGGCTTGGAATCAGGCTCACTGCATTTGGGGGCTGCTCACCTCACGCGGTTTGAGGATAGGGGGTGTTTTTATTTTTCCCCTGTAGATGTTTTTTCTTTTTTAGGAGTTAATGCAGTATTGTCAGTAATATCTTCCAATCTAAGATTATTCAGTGTCTTTCCATACAGCAATACTGTGTGTGTCACCGTGCTCCATAAATCCATGCTTCCAGTATCTGTCCTGCCCTCAAGCACCTGCTAAATTCCCAATGACACACTTGCAGTCCCCTGAACGCTTGCCTTGTCTCTGATATTCACAACCTGAGTAACAGCATTCACCTGTTCAGATTCTCTTGCTTTTAAACAAAAGAAATTCTGATTAGGGAACAGTTGTATTTTAATATGGTATTTGCTTCAGCCCAGTTATATCTGTTTTCCAGAAACAATGAGGTGATCTGTTCGAATACTAGCTTACAGCTCAGTCTTTGAGCCATTATGTCCCAGAAGACTCCAAAGTGTATGATTAAAAGGGATTATTTTAAGAGAGCATTTTAATAGCAAATGAACCTTTAGCGTCGCTTCCTCTTTCAGTTATACGGTGGTACCAGATTTGAAGAGTGCTCTTCTGTGGTGCAAGATTTGAGATTTTTCTTACTCTCTTAATTTGCAGTAGGTAAATATAGATTACATATCTCATTTCTATACTCTCATAGGGTATATTTTATCTGTCCAAAAAGAGGACCTTGCAGATCTGATTTAATGGAAAGTAATCTGTTTAAACTGGGTTTCAGTGGGAAAGTGAAAAAGCGCCTCTGTTCTGTCCATTCACCAGTAGTCATGAAGCTTTCAGGATACTTGAAATCTTAAGCCACCATTTTACCTTTGTTCAGTCAACATTTGTCAGCAGGTTAATAGGTGAAGGGAACATAAACAGAAAATCCAATAAGTCATATTTCCTTAGGAAAACAGGTTGAAAAATAGTGGCTCAGTGAAACCCCTGAGTCCTCTCACCTGCCAAATATATTGCAGAATTTGCAGAAATGTTTGTAAAATTACAGCCCAGTAATTAGTTCAGGCTATTACTGCAACTGTACATTCTGATATTTGTTCATGCAAGCAGCTAGCTAAGTGTCTAACTAGCACTTTTGATGTGGTGTAACCCATTTTGTATGCACAGTTGCAGCATTTTCACAGTTGTGCTGTGCATATAAATTCTTGAAATATGTTCTGCAACTCTGAATGGATGCTGCTTTCTGCTTGTCATTGTCGTGTAAAAAATACCTTCAGTAACTGAGAATACATTAATAAATGAGGAAGCAAAAACATGTTGCTGGTAGTTTCCTGAACTGTCAATTATAATACTGTTAAGACATTTTCATGATGATATTTTTCTCATATTTATGTATACCTACTTACAACTCTAGACTTATAAGTCTATATATGTTCCTCCACCCCCAGTATGTCACTTCTTCTGTTGAGTTTTTGTTTGTTTCTTTATTTGTAGGTCTGCTATTAAAGCATTGCGTCCTGGTGGATCGTTGGTCTATTCTACGTGCACGCTCTCAAAGGCAGAAAACAGCGATGTAATAAATCTCATTCTAAACTCCTGCAGTAATGTTATGCCTGTAGACATAACTGAAATGGCCAAAGCTGTTTCTCAGGAATTCACTTTCCTCAGTGGTATGCAACAGCATGAACTTCTGGTTCTCCCAGAGAAAGGGAGAGCATGGGGTCCAATGTATGTAGCTAAATTAAAGAAAATATAGTCCATCTGATGCCTGTTAGTATTTTATAAAGGATATGTGATAAATTAATATTTATTTCTAATATAGTATGTGTATATGAACATGTCCAATGCAACTGAATCTAGAGCATTGCAATTTTGTATCAACTGCTGCCTAATAAAAGGAAGATAGACAATTTAGCTGAAAATACTGAATGTGTCTTCTAATGTGAGTTGGGGGCCTCTGTGAAGTCAAGGGCTCTTTGTATTATTATCAAAGTAATGCTCTTATATGGGTTTGTATCCTAGAATAGAGGCCTAGAATAGAGGTGGGGTTTTGCACTGTTTTTTGGTTTTGTTTTTTTAATTACTAATTCGGTTTAAATACATTATGTTTTCAAATGAATGGTTTCAATGGTCTGAAGTCATGGAAATCTTGCATTCTTTCTCAAACACATCTAGAAATCTGTTTTCTTGTAAGAACTGATTTGTATGCAGAGTCTGTCATCTTAAGCTGTGACTATTCCAAGCAACTGGCAAAACAAGTTTCATATTTGCTAAGTTTTTTCCTGGTTAAAAACTGCCTTTTGTTTACAGTCGCAAACGTTATCGGCTATATTGACACCAGCTTTTTCTTTTTTTATATTTTTCATCTTACAAAAATATAAATTGAAGGAGTAAATTATGTTGAAATATCCTTAAAACTGTAGATTTAGATATGTTTAGCTTTGGTACTCATTTTGTGGCATAATGCGGTATATCCAGCAGTCTCCAGAGAACACATTTGAAAAAGAAGCATAATGATTAATGACCACAGTAATAGCACAGTATTCAAAGAGTTTTGTTACGTAATTACAGTCATGACGAGCAAAACAGACAATCTGGATAAGTGGCTTATCCACCGAGTTAAGAAATGTTGCATGAATTCGTGATGTTGTATCTGTGGTGTCTAAGGAAAGAGTTCCAGTGAGAACATGTACTGATGATGTTTTCAGGTTCCCTTAATTCTGCTACACAATGCTGTGGGTTAATGTATAGACATACGTGCACATACATACACGGTCATGTCTATGCACATGCAAACTGTGTCTCCCTATGTACTGCCTGTGGGCTAGGTGTGGAAACTTCTTTTCCAGCAATTATACCTATGAGTGGATCATGTAACGGTGTATATGTTAGGTCAAATCCTTGTCCTGAAGGAGAACATAGCCCTTTCATCCCTCTCAAGCAAAGAGAGGTTCTTTCCCTGACTGAAGCTTATAATTGTCTTTAAGGAATGGGGTTTTGAAGAAGAGACTTTTTTTTTTTTTTTCTGGTAGATAAATTGCTTGTGTGGAAGTGTGTGTGTGTACATTTATATATTTCATATATTTTATGTGTACATCTCTGTATATGTAATTATAAGTTTTTTGCAAGCACAAACATGACAATACAGATTTGATTTTTTTCTGAAGACTGAAGAATATCAATTTGTAAGCACTGGAAAAACTACCAAATTGATGATTCTGCACCTCGTTAACAAAGGCAAGAATAAAGTTGATTGCCCGAGGCCTTCTGTAAGGAGCTTCATGTAACCATGCTGGAAATGCACTAGTTGTACATTAAATTCTCTGGTGATTCTGTTGCTGTGAGCTCAGAAATACAACTGTGACTGAACTGCCTTTTGTCTCTGAAAAATTCAGTTGGCTTTTCACTGCCTTTATTCTCTGCTCACCTTGTTACACTGATGAGCCTCGACTCTGCATTCACCCCCGTTCTCTGTCAGTAACACCCACGGTCATGCAGCACTCAACATTTGTCTCTGCTCTGAGCGTTGTGGCTGCTGGGAAGATCCTGTCTATAGAATCTAGAGCAGTAAGAAGGCAGAGTTCAGAAACACAGCACCTGAACTGAAGAAAATCTTAGTGGCCTGAAAGCAGATGCTGATTGTGAGCTGTATCTTTGGTTCTTCAGGCACCTGTGACTAAGAGGAAGATGGGTTGCGCAGGTTTTTTGCTGCTGCATCTTTTGCTGGAGGAAATAAACGCATAAGGTACTCTGCCTCTTTGGTGCGTGAGCTTCCACGGTTATCCTTTCACCTCCTTTGTGATGAAAAATGTTTGAGGTGCCCCTGTAGTATTACATTGTCAGCAGTGTCTCTGAAAACTTAAGAGGATATAAAGCGTATGCAACTTGAGGCACAGAAGTTACTAATGTATGCAGATGATACTGTGTTCTTATGAAAAGACCTAACAGCATCTGTCCCAGAAACATTAAATGTAATATCCAGATTTGGAGTCATCTCAGGCTACTGGATGCAATAACAATACCCTTGTCAAAACACTTTCCATCAGTTTTATTTGCCCTGTGGAAATTGAAATGGAAAGCCAAGAATGTAACTTACTCAGGGATGGAATTAAAATATGTGGTTAGACTGAATGTTTGAGGAGAATGTGGGCTAGGTAATCACAGAAAGAACAAAGGGATCCTTGAAAACTGAACTTTGCTCTATCTCAGCATATGGGCGAATCCCTGTGAACTGCATTGCATTAGACCTAAATTACGCAGTAAGGCCTCCTGATGTATGTAAAAGCTGCACTGAGTTCTACATAACCCTTTGCTGGTCTCCTGGAGTTTCTTTTCAACTAGTCTAAAAGTGCACCAAAGAGGCAGGAAAAAAACAAGGCTAATTAATATGGGATACTTGTTTTGTAGCAGATGAATGCTAGTTCAGAGTGCTGCAGTGTGGTTTGTTGTTTGTTTGTTTGTTGTTTTTTTTTTTTTTCCTGTTCTAATCAGTTCTGGCTGGTGGCAGGGATGTGGAGGGAGAGGGGCTGAGAAGGGAAAAGCAGAAGGGGTGGGAGGCATGCCTCGAGGTAAGGGGCAAGGTTTGCACATGTGGGGAACAGCATCCACTCAATGGTACTTGAAAAGCTTTCGTGTCCATTCAGGCACCTCTTAGATACTTCTGATGTCCTGAGATGACTTCTGCTCACCTTCAGGACAAGGCTGCAACATTTTCCTTTTTTATCCATTTTTCTCAGGGAATTGTAATTCCTCTATTATGCCCTGCCTCCTCTTTCACGGGCAACGGATGGAAATGGAGTAGCAGACAAGTCAGGCTAACTTAGAGAAAATTGCAGCCCCAGGGAAAAGGCAGGTAAGCAAGCTGAGAGCAAGAAAATTAACATTTTTGTTGGACTGTGGAGTAGCTAGAGAGATCTGCATGATCTCTAATGAAGGTAATTAAGACAGTGTTTGTTCGACTACTCACAATCATCATATACCCAGCACACATCCGTGCCAGTATACCTCAGAGGCAGCAGGGATAACTGGAGATCAAATACTATCGTGCTTTTCTTCCATTCCCTTTTCAAACACAAAATTAATTCCCGTTAGTTTCGGGGGGGTTGGCACAATAAGAAATGAAGGCCTTCTATAAAGGTGACCTCAGTATTTGCCAAATTTTATCCTTTATTCGGTGATATCTGACACAATTCAATGATGGCTTGTCAAAAGCATTCTCCATTCTGGGATAGAGTGGAAAAACAGATTACACACGAATGATTGTGAACTGTTACAGTCAACTAGGGGACTAATGAACTCTTGGCTTTCTTACTAAGATGTGTAAAGAAAAGATGAAACACGATGAAAGAGGGGTAAAATGAAAAGATCAGAAACACAACAGTGGAAGAAAAACATGAAATACTGGAAAAGAGATGCCATGGCTTTTAGCATGGAAGACCAGCAGTGCTGGACCCTACAGAGGAAAAGGTCTGTTAGAGCCTGGGTGGTAAAAAGAGTTCCTCTGGGGAAAGTGGGAGCCAGTTACCTGTTCTGAGGTGGGAGGATACCCCTTAGTTCATTTGGCTACCTTAGGAGATAAATGTCTTTTGAGGAGATCAATCATGAAAACTTGGGGGTTTGCTTTAAACTTGAAGGATATTTAAATTAGCTGTTATCACTTAAACAGAGCATGGCTACCTGTTTCTTGCAAAATGAATGGCCGTATCAGTGCAGCATTCCTATCAGAAAAATTGATTTAGTGGAAGGAATTTTGAGAATCGGATCTGTTTTAAATAGACTGTTTTGTCAGAATATGGCCTGCTGATAAGCTGATTTAACTTTATGCAATATTGGCTATAAATAAGACTCTTCCAGGGGAACTTTTACAGGCACATGTTGGTTTTGTCTCTTAACTTTCAGATAAAAACTCTGGTAAAAGTGAAACTTTCTCAGTTATCAGTATGTCAAACTTGAATCAGAGAGCACAGAGCATATTCAGTCACTAGTCTTAGCTTTTAGATGGTACTGCTGTGTCCCCACCACATGATTTCTTACTAAAGATAGTTTTTTGTAAGACAGGTCATAGCAATCATGAAACATTTGTCAGAAAATGCTTTCATTGGCTGATCTTCCTGGCTGCCTCCTAAGATTTGAGGTCAAGGGCTTAATGGCCTTGAAAGGTTTTATTTTCTTAGTAGTTGTACACAGCTTTCAAAAGGGGTAAGCATCATAGAGCTCCCATGGCTCCATTTAAAAATTGTGTTTCAGGTGGTACCAAAATAAAATGCCTCGATCAAAAAGTCACAACTACTCTTGGGAGAAGGGATGGAACATAAACCTAGGTTTTGTGCCAGTCTTTGTATTTCCTGAAGAATTTCCCCTCCCTACAGCTGTGTTTAAGGGGGTAACTTACACAAATGCTTCCTTGCTGTTTTACTTTGTGATAGTGACAGTGTTGGCATGGCACTACCGTGGTCACTTACCAGTGTGTCATGGTGATGATGATCATGGTCACAGAAGAAAAGGAAATGGATCTGTTACCCCAAAACCACAGGTAATAATCAATTCCATAGTAAGAAGTGCTCCAAAAGTTGTTGCAGAATTCAATCTTTTGTTAAAGAAGATAGGAACACTGGAAGTCAGCACAACTACCCAAATTTGAATGAGGCTAGCGCTTCACCTGATTAGTGACATTCCTACCTTGTTCTTTACAAAATGATGCTTCCCCGATATATGGCTTTCATCTTTAATGACTATAGGAGTTTGGCCTGACCTTACTTCTGACAAGGCTAATCAAATAAAGCAGTCAAAATAGGCAAGAGGTTTGTTTACATGCAGCATCAGAGTAGCTCTTACAGTGATTCAAAGGAGATGTGGGCTAACTGTTGCTTTGTCTTGGTCACCCACACTGTTCAGGTGTAATACTTGTATAACTGCATCTGTGTCAGGTATGGGCCCTGACATGATGACTCCTGATTCTCCCTTTGTACCCAGTGACTTCCTTTGCTATGGGGGAGATCTCTAGAGGTGCGTGTCTTGCTTCAATGAGGATCTGTGAATGAATGGTTTTCAAGTATGGCACGGACTAACAAGGCAAAACTTCATCTCTGAATAGGTGTTCTGGGGGCATCTTAACCTGCTTGAGGTCCCTTGATTTGAAGGCGCATAAAGACAGCATATATTTTAGGTGTACTTTTCCCCCTTTTTTAATCTACTCACTTCTTATTAAACATCGTACCCTAAAAGAGGAAAGACGCTGGTGCTCTCTCCCCTAGCTAAAACAGGGTCAAACCCAGAAGTGTGATAAGGCAGTAGGGAGTAGATGGGCAAGGAGCAACATGGAAGTGATAACAGAATATCTTAATTTTTTAATAATTTCAGTCTTTTCAGAACTGTAAGACAAGTGTGTGTGCATTACTGAGAATTAAATAGTGGTTTATAGACTGAGCATTTCGTTAGCTTTTGCCCAGAAATAATCATGTCCCCAAACTCTTCATTCAATCTGGTTGACAAAATGACTGGCTGTATCAAGGGATTTGGCGTTCTGTGTGCCCCATGAGCATATTATTGAAAAGAGTCTCCATGAATTGCCAATTCCAGTTCCCTGCTTTGGTAAGTTTCCAGTATGCCTGCCATAGACCGCTAAAACTTTACCTCAAAGATTTCAGGTTTCCTGTGTCCACTGAAGCACAGTTCTGGAATTACGTTACTCAAAATTCAGAGAACTAAATGATCAGTTCACCTCCCTGCCTACTTCTGGTGTTCACCATCACATCAGTAACAAATGAGCATCTACTACTTCCTGCATTTGGATGTGGTGAGCTATGAAAAGCAGGGAAATATGTAACTGATAGAGATTTCAAGAAGTGTTTTTTTAATTGTTCCAAAGTAAAATGAGATAAGAGGAAATTCATAGCGATATATCATGGGTTTTTGGTAAGCATTCTTTGCTTTGTTGATTTGTTTTCTAGGAAAAATCTAGCTTGGCTGAGTGTATGATTAAGTAGCTGACGGAATAATTCTTTACAAGAAGGAGAAGATGCCAGAACATTTGACTGGTGTAAAACTGGACTGCACAGAGGGTTAGAAAAAGTGTAGGGAGGAATAATTTTGTGTTGGCAGGAAGTAGACTTAATAGTACTTTTTTATCTGTAATTTTTATGATTCTATGGCTAACTAGGGAAATGTTTAATGTTCCTGATACAGCAACTGAAGGTAGAAGAAGGAAGATTGACATACCCAGCACTGTTATAATTCATTTCATTACTTCACACAGGGCTTTTATATTGTCATGCCCATAAAGCGCCAGTGTGTGTGCTTATAGCCAATTCATCTTTATATACTGCTGCTGATCCCATTGAAGTGAATGGCAAAACTCCCATCAATTTTAATGGCA